ATTGACCTTTTTTTTTTTTTTAAGGTCAACAGGAAAGGAATAAATGTCACCAATTTAGAGGATTTCGCACCTAGCATTCTTTTCTGTATCATTGTGAATTTGACAGTGTTAAAACATTTTTATAGGTAAAATAAATGTCAGTTTTGCAAAGAGCGATACCAGACCCTGAGAGACAAATGGCCTATCCGTTGAATCTCTGGCTACAGCAAGACTTCCTCACCTCACAGGAGACTTCAGCTTTTCATATTTCTCTTTACCCAGAAAGCAAAGCAGTTGCACAGTTTCTTTCAAATGGTAACTCTCTCTTATCCTGAAGAGTCTTCTCATAATACAATCATCTTGGATGGCGGGGGCAGTGGCAGGAAGGAAGTGCATCGGGTTTTAAAAAAATTAAAATAAAAAACAAATATTTGAATAGTATTATAGTGTTATAATGCCATCCTCAATAGGGAGCAAAGAGGAGGGGAAAGGCCAGACTAAATTCCTGGGTTATAAGAAAGGGTTATGTTGCTTTGGGCTTAATGGCTCATACATTCATGAGGTAATATTCAGGGAAAATGTGATATTTTATCAGAATGTCATTCAAATATAAGGTTTAACATTTACATCACAAGAGCATGGACGGAGTAAAACTATCCGCCGGGAGAAAAATGGCAAGAATAAACAGTGTGATAAAAATGGTGTTTGCTGGGACAGGAAATGGGAAGTGGAGGATGGGGGAGTTTTAGAGACAGCTGACTAAACTTTTTGAAATATGTGACTGGTTATGACATGTGAAGCAATTACCATTAATGGAAGAAAAGCGATTTCAAAGCTCATTTTCCATTCTTCTATATCCTTCCTGAGACTACACCTTCCAACCACAAAGTGAAAAAAGAACACAAAGACAGAAATCACAGCGCAAGTCTCTTCCCTGGTACAAGGGCCGATAAAGGTTGCTTTACTCATAAGCAAAAGGGGAAAAGTAATGTACATATTCCCTGAGGTTTTTTATTTTATTTTCTCAGCAAAAGAGATCGATGTTATTTTGCAGAACAGACAAAATGCACTGATTAAAGAAATCCTTCCACAACACACACGATTTTACAATTCAAAAAAAGCATAAAGATAAAAAAGAATCATTTGTCTAAAATGATAATAATTTTGAGTCAGATAGTCCCTGGAAGCAAAGTGAGGACACTCAGAAATTCCATTTGGATTAGTCTAATGCTATACAATCCAAATGTGCACCAAACACTGTACTTTTTATGTTAAATTGCTGTTGAATTTGTTAACCCACAACTGATATCCTGTGTTATGGAATCTTGGAGATTACAGCTAACTTGAAGCAACAGGGATAATTCTTGACAGTTAATGGTATTTTTGTATGCATTTTTCTGAAAGGCTAACATCTTGGGGCCTCAATCTGGTAGCTCAACATTGCCCCCTACTGCTCGCAACTGAGAAAATATGAGGTGGGCTGGTACTAAGTGGAAACCTAACCAGCCACTGCCAATTCCACCAGAGTATACAAATACCAGATGGCACTGCACGAACACAGCCACAGAACCGTAGACCCATCCAACAATTATTCTGTTCTGTCTTTTCCAATAGAAAGAAAAAATTACTTGAATTTGTAAAAAGTCATTTGTAAAAGGCTTGAAGCAATGCTTACATTTAATTTGGAAGAAACATCCCTTTTAACTGGGCCTAAATCTTGACTCTGCTGATAAAGATCATCCCAAGGCATGCTGAGGAGACACTGAGGCCACTGATCTCCCTCAGAACACTTAGAAATGCCATGCCAACTGCTGGGAAACTACCGCCAGAGAGTTCGCAGAACTGCTTTTCCTTTTGGTATTTTTTATACAAGAGCGACAAAACAAAAGAGATTTCCTCTTAACGAATGTGCCACCACCTTCAAATTATTTATGCACAAATTTACATAGATATAACTAAATCCCTTAAATGAATTCATAATGAATATCACTGGTAAACTCACAATACCAAATATTTTATTTTGTGTGTGTGTGTGTGTGTATGTGAGACAAGGTCTCACTCTGTCACCCAGGCTGGAGCGCAGTAATGCGATCACAGCTCACTGTAGCCTTGACCTCCTGGGCTCCAATGATCCTCCCACCTCAGTCTCCCAAGTAGCTCAGACTATAGGCATGCACCACCACAGGCGGATAATGTTTTTTATTTCGTACAGATGAGGTCTCACTATGTTGCCCACGCTAGTCTGAAACTCCTGGGCTCAAGCAATCCTCCCAACTTGGCCTCCCAAAATGCTGAGAAGACACGTATGAGCCACCTTGCTGGGCCAGATTTTACAAAAAAGGAAAAAAAAAAAAAGCTCTTGAACAAAAACAAAATCAAGGGCCAAGCACGGTGGTTCACGCCTGTAATCCCAACACTTTAGGAGGCCGAGATGGGCAGATCACCTGAGGTCAGAAGTTGGAGACCAGCCTGGCCAACATGGTGAAACTCCGTCTCTTCTAAAAAATACAAAAATTAGGCAGGCATGGTGGTGGGCACCTGTAATCCCAGCTACTCAGGAGGCTGAGGCAGGAGAATCGCTTGAACCCAGGAGGCGGAGGTTGCAGGGAGCTGAGATCGTGCCATTGCACTCCAGGCTGGATGACAGAGCAAGACTCCGTCTCAAAAAAAAAAAAAAAAAAAAAAAATCAGTAAGAGCTCCTTTCTTATTTGCTCTTCAACTCTAATTCACAGAGTTGTCCAATTACAACTTCAAAGTCAAGCTGATGTCTTAGTGCCAAGGTTCATCAAGTTAAGAGGTTCTAACTCATATGTAAATGGACAAAATCAGAATTACACAGTAGGAGGAAAAAAAAGTTGCCCTGAAACTGAAGCTGCCTTTATATAAGAAGCCCATAAAAATGGAGAATACTCATAACAGGCTTAGTTTAGGAACAGAACTGACCAAGGAGATTTAGGCACAGACTTTTCATTAACTCCAATTCAGTTTCACAATGCTCGGTTTTGCATTGATTCAGGTCTTTGGAGAAATCAATTTTTGTGATACTATTAATACATTAAAAGGATTATAACATTCCTTCCCCAGACACATATCCATGAAAAGGTATGATTTAAAGATTTGAGATGTCTGGAAAGCAAGGACTTTTGGATTCTGATCCCGACTTTTAAACTGGGGCCTTCAGAGTTGTGACTTGACATTTTCATTATCATAAAGTAGGAATTAGGGTAGACCCTATGTTAAGTGTTCTTATCACAAAAATAATAATAATAATAAATAAGACAGAAGAAAACTTTTAGAGGTGATGGATAGGTTTATGGCATAGACTGCTGTGATGGTTTCACAAATGTACACGTATCTCTAAACTCAGGTTGTACACATTAAATACGTATACCTTTTAGTAGGGCAACCAATACACCAATAAAGTGGCTTTAAAAAAATAAAATAGGGATTAGCAATAGCTATCCATTTTTGCAGATTAGTTCATTGTTTCCAGCACATTTCAAATTCTGTGCAGAGGTACTATCTCCAGAGTTTGCAGGCGTTTATCACTTTTCTACTACATTCCAAATCCGATTGTTTGAAGGCAGAACAGTGAGGCGGTGAAGAGCAAGGACCCCAGAGGCAGCCTTCTAGAGTTCAAATTCCAGCTCCCTCACCTGTTAGCCGGGTGACCTTGAGGAAGTTACATAAACCCTTTGTGTTTTGGTCTCCTCGTTAGAAAAACGGGGAATACAGGGCCGGGCGCGCTGGCTCACGCCTGTAATCCCAGCACTTTGGGGGGCCGAGGCGGGCGGATCACAAGGTCAGGAGATCGAGACCACGGTGAAACCCCGTCTCTACTAAAAATACAAAAAATTAGCCAGGCGCGGTGGCAGGCACCTGTAGTCCCAGCTACTCAGGAGGCTGAGGCTGGAGAATAGCGTGAACCCGGGAGGCGGAGCTTGCAGTGAGCCGATACCGCGCCACTGCACTCCAGCCTGGGTGACAGAGCGAGACACCGTCTCAAAAAAAAAAAAAAAAAAAGAAAGAAAGAAAAATGGGGAATACATTACACCTATGTTATAGGGTGTCATAAAAGTTAAAGAAATTATATAGAAAACACACAGAATAATGTCTGGTACTTAATAAGTATTATGTAAGTGTTTGCTATTATTATTATTACTATTATTTAAATTAAGACTTAATGCAAGACCTCCATGTGGCTTCAGCCTGCCTTCCAGCTGCATTTCCTCCCACATCATCTGCACTCCTTGCTCTGGTCATACCGGACTTCCTCACTTCTGGCCTTGCTTTTCGTCCCCAGATCCCCTATCCCATCATACTCCTCAGCATTCAAGGGCGCCAAAAACCACATCTGCCATTTCACCACCATCCCAGCCAGCTCAAGTGGTCTCAAAGTAATGCTCCCTCCTCTGGAACTGTGATTTTCTTTTAACATTTAACATATATGACCGGATTTCATTTTAGCTAACGTCATACCTGGTGATATTCGTGCCCCTCTCCTTGTTCAACTGTTGGATCACAGTGGTTGAGAGGAGAACGTAAGCTGTGGAGCCAGCCTGCCTGGAGTTCCCCCTTGCTTTGCCACTTACTCAGTGACCTTGGGGGAGGCCCTTCATTTCCCTGTCCCTCAGTTTTCACATCCATACATTCAGGCCTGGAAAAGTTTCTATACCTCTTAGCATTGCTGTAAAATTTTTTAAAGTTAATACTGGGAAAACAGAGTAGCACCTGTTTGTTACTCTGTATGTTAAATACTATTTTCAAATTGTTATCCTCTTATCACCACTTCCTAGTATATGTCCAGCACATGCCTTATGAGGAGAAAATAATAAATGCTTATTGAACTAAATTGAGGTTGTACTGACAAAATCCTGGCTATACCCATCACCTTACCAAGAAGAACCTAACGTGATAATTAGGAATAATTAAATCTATATTTGCCTATGCAAATGAGGCAGTGGAGGATTTGTATAACACAGCAGCCCACAAAACACGGTCCCAGGCCTCATGGACTTACCACACCCTCCATCTTCTTCCACAGTGCTTCCAATTGAGCCATGGGTTGACACCACCAGTCAGTGCACTTTCTGTATCGATTGCCTTGAAACCAAAACTGCCTCAGCCACTCAAACTCGACCTGTGGACCATAAAGAGAAGATGGTGGTTTTAATTCCCTTGTGATAGACAAACAAGGACAATGACTTCGTCTCTTAATTCTCCTCCGGTAACTTGACAGCCATAGGATGAGAAAAGGTGAGAAAGGTCAGCCTAACCAGTTCCCAATATAAGCTGGCATCTCCAGAGCATTTCTGCAATGCTAAGAAAAGAGTAGTCTTAAAACTGAGGTCTGGCCAGACGTGTTGGTTCATGCCTATAATCTCAATAGTTTGGCAGGCCGAGGCACGAGGATCGCTTGAGGCCAGGAGTTTGAGCCCAGCCTGGGCAACATTGCAAGATGCTGTCTCTACAAAAACAATTAAAAATAAATTGGCCAAGCACAGTGGTGTGTGCTGGTCGTCCTGGCTGCTTGGGAGGCTGAGGCAAGAGGATTCTTTGAGCCTAGGAGTTTGAGGCTGTGATGAGCTCTAATTGTGCCACTGCATTCCATCCAGCCTGGGCAACAGAGCAAGAGTCTCTGTGTTAAAATAAAATAAAATGAAATAATTAAAAAGCTGAAATTCTCTTACACAACCCAGCTCACGCCAGAGAGGGGTTTTCAATCACATTTATTAGTCAGACGTGAGGAAACTATAAGTCAATCAACAATAAATACTGAGATCCTAATTATAAAGCAGGCTGTACTATGTTTGATGGGAAAGACATAAACCAAATGTGTTTTTACTAAATGTCTTTATTTAAGGCTGATATTAAAAGCAAAACATGGATACATATTAGGAAATATTAATTATAAGTTTCTTAAATTGCAATAAATTAAAATAACTTACCCATGGACCAGGAGGAGCTGGTGATAATCTTAACCTGTATATATAAAACTAATTATGGAAGCACACATTAAACCTACAAAGCCATTCAAATTGTCACTTGTCAACTCAGGGCAGGTGACAATAGGTTAAAAAGAAGAGTAGCAAACATATTAGTACAAGCTGAATATCTCTTATCTGAAATGCTTGAGAGCAAAAGTATTTCTGATTTTAGAATATTTGTGTTATATACTTACTGGTCAAGCATTTCAAATCCAAAATCTGAAATTCTCCAATAAACATTTCCTTTGAGCATCATGTTTATGCTCAAAAAGCTCTGAATATTGGAGCACCTCAAATTTCAGATTTGCAGATCAGAAATATCCAAGTAACTTACTTTCCTTCCGATGAATCTACTACGGTAAACTTCAACTGTTTGCCACCTTGGCAGTCCTCCTATTCCAGTCAAATCCCACCCGCCCCTTCCCCAAACAGCCCATGTGGTCTGAAGAGGCTCCAACTCCAACGCCAGGGGTGGAATATGCAACCCAGGTCTAGGCCAATCAGTCCACTAGATTCTGTAGTCACAGAACTAGGATTGAGAGGAATAGGAATATGTCCAATCAGAAGAAGTCTCAAGACTATCAGAAACTACAGGAAGAAGACTCTGCAGCTATTTTGCCAGCAATGGGAAGAATGGAGCCAACATAGGGGGTAACTGCAAGACGAAAAGACAAAAACCACATCCTGATGATATCAACTGACCCTTGATCAAACTATTCCGGAAACTGTTTTTATTTAAGCCGGTTCAGGTTGAATGTTTTGCCCTTTGCAACTAAAATAATCCCAACATATTTGGATGATGGGCTGAGTTAACCTATGGAAAAATAAAAAATTTTCTATCCATTTTATAATTCTTCTATGATTCATCAACTTGAAAATCAAGGTACAATGCTACTGATCCTAAATACTCTTTTTACCACTGCCAGCTAAAGAAATGTGGAGCCGGCCGGGCGCGGTGGCTCACGCCTGTAATCCCAGCACTTTGGGAGGCCGAGACGGGCGGATCACGAGGTCAGGAGATCGAGACCATCCTGGCTAACATGGTGAAACCCCGTCTCTACTAAAAAATACAAAAAATTAGCCAGGTGTGGTGGCGGGCGCCTGTAGTCCCAGCTACTCGGGAGGCTGAGGCAGGAGAATGGCGTGAACCTGGGAGGTGGAGCTTGCAGTGAGCCGAGATTAAGCCACTGCACTCCAGCCTGGGCGACAGAGCGACGAGACTCCATCTCAAAAAAAAAGAAAAAAAAGAAAGAAATGTGGAGCCACCACAGCTTCATGCTGGGTTGCCTGGCTTTGCTAAGGTGATCATATTCCATATATAGACATGGAGCTATTATAATCTTCACCTGTTACCGCAAAGAATTTTTTTTTCTGTTTATCCATATTGAACTTTCATGAGGCAAACAAAACCAACTTGTGAAGATTTAACAATGGTGAAAATGGCTCAAATAAGTAACCTGAGAATACCAAGTCATATGAAAAAGTTTTAGTTTACATTAACTAAACATTTGTTTGCTATGTAGGACTGATTTCAGTTAAAGCTGTTTAAACAAAACAAAACAAAACAAAACAAAACAAAAAAGGAATGTAGACACAATATTAATACAACAGTTGCTAAAACTTATCTGTGCTATTAAAAGACAGTGGTTAACAGATGTAACCTTGAGTACTTTGAAAGATGAATGAATACAAATGTGTTTCAACTTCTGTGAAGATACAGGTTTAACAACATACTTCAAGAAAAAAATGAGTTCCTTTTGATGGATTTCACATAAAATTTGTTCACACTATGGAAAGAGCCTGTTAGCAAAACATCAAGTCCTATGTTAGAAAGAGTTGTAAAGGCTTTAAAAGATTTTCCAGTCTTTGGGCTGGTTATGCCCGTTGAAGAGGACAGAATAGATACGGCTTGGCAACCATGGTGACTCTGGAAATAGACTATCATATGTAATTAGTTCATCCAGTCTATCAGGGTACAGTAGAAACTGGATTTCAGTACATTAAAACTTGGAAGCAAGGAGAAGGCTATATCTAGGGGCTCTGCTATTGGACAAGAGAGCAAAGAGAGAGCCCTGGCTATTTTAATAAATAATGCCTTCATCTTCCCTTGGATGCCCAACTGTCTTTTGAGACAGATAGTATCATGGTTAAAAATAAGGGCTCTGGCCTATAATCCCAGCACTTTGAGAGGCCATGGCAGGAGGATCACTTGAGCCCAGGAGTTTGAAACTAGCCTGGGCAACACGGTGAGACCTCATCTCTACAAAACAAACAAACAAACAGTTAGATGGTTGTGGTGGCACCTGCCTGTGCTCCCAGCTACTTAGATGGCTGAGGCAGAAGGATCACTTGAACCCAGGAGGTCAAGTTTGCAGTGAGTCATGATTGCGCCTCTACACGCCAGTCTGGGCAACACAGTGAGGCCATGTCTCTAAAAGAAAGAAAGAATATGGGCTCTGGAGTCAGTTCAAAAGTGAGTACCACTACAGAATAGCTACGTCATCTGTAAGACAGAAATAATTACTGCCTACTCTCTGTCAGGCATTTATTTGCTAGATGTCAAGAGTGCATACTAAACAAGACCACAAGGCTTTGGACTTCCTGTCCTCAAGCATCTCACAATCTTACGAATTTTCTGACCAGGAGAAGCTTTAATGTCCTCGTCAATTCATGCCCACCCCTTCCCACTAATGCCAGTTAGAAACGCTCAACAACACTGAAGACCTTCTCCCAACCGAATTTTATTCATGAGTTGAAATATTGCCCATGAGATACAATCTCTGTGGACATCAAATCCAGTGGCATGCCTTCTCTTCAACTCCATGACCTGACTTTTTCATTTCGATGCTGTGGGTAAAAACTATTACAGGATTTTAATCAAATGCCACCTTTACCAGTTCCCCCCTGCCAACAGAAAGAAGTAGCTGACTCTCTCCTTAAAATTAAGTAAGAAGGCCAAAAAACATTTCCACCTGCTTGATTCAGAGTCTGAGTTAACAAACTCTGGAAATTAGGAAGGAAAGCTATAGCATGGACACTGCACAAAAACCAGAATCAGGACTCAAAATATAGCAAGTCCTTATTACTTTGGGGCTAAAAAACCAAACAAACATCCATGTCGAATCATATTGACTGACTGACAAAGTGGTAACCACGACAGAAGTTGGGTATTCTTCCCTTCTCCAGAGTTGTAGGCCATCAAAGGAGGCTCATAGCTAACAGAGCAGAAATAAGAGGCAAGTGGTCAGGAGAGCAAATGCTGACTTGGGGCCAAGGAACATTCCACGGGTGACACATCCCTGAAGACGTCAACAGCAGGGAGACAACCTGTAGGAGCTCTCAGGGTTCTCTCAAAGTTTTCATGATACTTACAAACCAAACTCCCTGATTTTGAACATGCACTTGATGGAAATAAGTCTAGAAGGGGAGAAAGGAATAGAATCAACCCACATATCTGGACTTCAGTCATTGGGTACTTAGGCCTTGGAAAGCAAAGCTAATAAGATTTCAAAAGAATATTTCTGAGCCACTTTATCACCATATAGTTGTAAATCATCTCCATCATTCCAATGGGTCAGTAAATGTCACCTACTTTTCTTCTGCTGAGTTTGTTTAGGCTCTTGATATGGTCCCAAGTCAGTCATGGAGTTCCCTCATGAGATGTGTGACTACGCCCCTTGGGATTAATGTCTCACTGTAATAACGGATAGAAGTTACTTTGCTGAGAAAGAAATTAGACCAGGAAGACATGGTAAGGCTCTATCTACAAAGAGGTACCCTATGAAGGCCCTTTCGCAGTGGTTATAAGGAAGCCACAGGTCTGGTCAGAAGAAAATGAGAGCCAAACAATACCGTCAAACATTCCATTCTTCTAGGGGACATTTACTAAGATAGGAGGCTGAATTCCACATTTTACTATCTTTAAAAAGGAAAGTGGGCCATTTAATAACATGGAAGAAGATTCTGCTTATAATTAAACAAGAATCTTTCCTAAGCATCTTAAATTGGAAAAACTATATCTCCAATAAGGTACCCCAAAACACATGCCCAAACTTCCGAAAACTGCTTAGTTAGAAACCATCCTAGACAAGGAAAACAAACCACTTCTTAACCCACACAGACTGAGAGCCTGCAGTATGTAAAATCAAGGGTTTCATCCCATGATTTGTCCAGCAAAGACACATGGCCTTGCAGAAATAGGCAAGCAAGCAAGCAAGCAAGCAACTGGGAGAACTCTTATGGACAAGTGGGCTTTCACTGAACAATAGGACAAAGTAAACAGCAGGCATGCAACTGCTAAATCCCAGGCCAACTTGTATGGCAAAAGAACAATATCTGACAATGTGCCCTGACATATGGAATTAATTGTGAAAGTAAGGAGATGACCTTGAAGAATCAGAGATCGGGGGAATGGTAAAGACTGGCACACACATTATTTAAATTCAAGATCACTGTATCTATTCAACCCCAGGGGCTGAGGTTTCTGATACAGTACATCTCTGCCCCACCTGCCTAACATACAAGGTCAAAAGCAGCCAGTCACTTTCTGAAGCAGACAAATTTTTTTTTTTTTTTTTTGAGATAGAGTTTTGGCCTTGTTGCCCAGGCTGGAGTGCAATGGCACAATCTCGGCTCACTGCAACTTCCGCCTCCCAGGTTCAAGAGATTCTCCCGCCTCAGCCACCCAAGTAGGTGGGATTACAGATATCCGCCACCGCACCTGGCTAACTTTTTGTATTTTTACTAGAAACAGGGTTTCACCATGTTGGCCAGGCTGATCTCAAACTCCTGACCTCAGGTGATCCACCGCCTTGGCCTCCCAAAGTGCTGGGATTACAGGCGTGAGCCACCGCACTCAGCCTGAAGCAGATAGACTGAGATGACAATATTCTGTTAGATACACAGTGTGATCTTACAGATTTCTCCCATCCATTGATGGTAACAAAACATCACAGTCACAAAAGATGAGAAAGGATAGGGAAATAAGAAAGCCTGTATGCATGTTAAAGAAAGCACCCATTCTGCCAGTCTGACACGAAAATTGTGAGTTTTTTTTTTTTTTTTTAGACGGAGTCTCACTCTGTCACCCCAGGTGGAGTGTAGTGGCGCAACCTCGGCTCACTGCAAGCTCTGCCTCCTGGGTTCACACCATTCTCCTGCCTCAGCCTCCTGAGTAGCTGGGACTACAGGCGCCCGCCACCACGCCCGGCTAATTTTTTTGTATCTTCAGTAGAGACAGGGTTTCACAGTGTTAGCCAGGATGGTCTCGATCTCCTGACCTCATGATCTGCCCACCTTGGCCTCCCAAAGTGCTGGGATTACAGGCGTGAGCCACCGCACCCAGCCCATGAGATTTTTTGAGAAGGAAATAACTAAATTTCAAGATTAGAATTTCTGTACTGTAAATATGCAGAAAGACATAACTTTGCTCCCCGGTCTAATTCAGTGAGGTCATCAGGCCCATAAATGTCTTCCTTCCTGAAGTTCTGGCTATCAGCAATGCCTCCAGCAGGGACTAATAAGACAGAAAGTAGAACACCCATCAGGCACAATGAAGGGAAGCAAGTCAGACCTGAGCTCAGCATTAGAAGTGGTTACCAATCCCCTGAAAGGCAGAATAGCTTCCCCTGTGGTTCTGGAGATTATGACAATGTTTCACAAAGTATGGAGCAGTTCACAAGATATTAAATAACTTATAAAGACATTAAAAAGATATTATGTCACTATAGGAGATGACATTATTTCTCCTTTGCTCAAAACTCTTCAATGGGCCCCTGTTTCTTGCAGAGGAAAAAGGAAAGGCCTTGTCCTTACAAGGGCCTCCAAGGACCTATACAATCTGCTGCTCCCCAGTCTCCTGGAACTATCTCTGTGACCTCTTCTCCTATAAGTAGCAACCTCACTCCCTCCACCCAAACAGTACTGTTCCTGGACTGTTCCATGGACTCCAGACATTCCCCCACCACACAGCCTTTGCAGTGGCTGTTCCTTCTGCCCAAAAGGCAATTCCCCAGATACCCACATGGCTGTCTCTCACGTCCTTCAATTCTCTGCTCAAACGACATCTTTTCAACAGGGAGGCTCTCTAGTTCTCTCAGTTTCCATCATCTTGCTCAGTTTTTTTTTCTGTAGCACTTAGCAACTTCTAACATACTGTATGATTTACCAACGTATTATGTTTATTACTTACCATCATCTTCCTGTACTAGAATGTCTATTTTATTTACCAATATATTCTAAAGCACCTAGAAGAGTGTCTGGCACATGTTCAGCAATTAATTATAGAAAGGATGCACAAGAACATTTTTTAACTTCAAATTCTCCATCAATCCTTCTTATTATATCAAAAAGAAAGTCTCAGATAGGTGAATGAACTTCAGTTCTCTACCACATTTTAGTGTCTCCTTTTTTCTTTTAACGTTTTTTTTTTTTTGAGGTATAATTTACCAGCCATAAAATTCACACATTGTAAGTGCAGACTCCAATGATTATTAGAAAATGTATGAAGCTGTGCAACCATTACCACTAATCTCCCTTCTTAACACGAAGAAAGGAAATTTGAGGCTCAGAGCGTCCTCCAGACAAGAATATCTACTGGAATGTAATAACATTACTCTGTTTTCATTGGACCTATTTTTCTGGATACTTTTTCTTTTGGCTAATGACACTGGATTTCCACTTAAAGTAGCAATATAAAGCTTCCTTTTTAAAGAAATTTATATATGTTAAAAAAGAGTTGATTTAAAGTAAAATATTAAGTAACTAAACAATGTATGTAGTCCGAAGATAAAGTAAATATTGAGAGGGTATTAGTGGGAAAAGTAGAGTCTGTGAAACTTTGACCCATGGGATCCAGACCTGCTGGTCTCACAGACTGCAGAATTGCAACTGATTTCATCAATGAAAAGCAAGGCATTGACACTTGCTCGCAGGGCCTATCCTCAATTCCCAGCAGTCTTTGCTGGGAGACTATTCTTCCTGAGTCTCTTGTGCTTCTGCGTGTCTTGTGAGGAAGCAATGACTGTCCTGTGTTACGGACTCTCATCGCAAGGATGTTTATACAGCAACAACCTTGATAGAGAGAGTTTCTCCCTCCAGAACAAAAGGCCAGGTGAGCATATAGGCTTGGAAGTTAAAGACAGCGTCTTGACCTACAGCGAAGGACAGGCATGCTTACTATCCTTTGAAAAAGACTAGGTTTCCATAGCTCATGGTTCCTCTCCTATAATGTAACCCCTCAATGTGTACATGTTATCTGGCCTACTTTGCATTGCCCTATAGAAACAGAAGCTGGGAGAATGCTATGCTCTGTATGTGTACGTCCCTCCAAAATTCTTTTTTATTTAATTTATTTATTTATTTATTTATTTATTTATTTATTTATTTTGAGACGGAGTCTCACTCTGTTGCCCAGGCTGGAATGCAGTGGCGCGATCTTGGCTCACTGCAAGCTCCGCCTCCTGGGTTCACGCCATTCTCCTGCCTCAGCCTCCCGAGTAGCTGGGACTACAGGCGCCCGCCACCACGCCTGACTCATTTTTGTACTATTATTATTTTTTTTTTAGTAGAGACGGGGTTTCACTGTGTTAGCCAGGATGGTCTCGACCTTGTGATCTGCCTGCCTCAGCCTCCCAAAATGCTGGGATTATATGCGTGAGCCACCATGCCCGGCCATGTCCCTCCAAAATTCTTCTGTTGAAATCCTAACATCCGAGGCGATGGCATTAAGAGGTGGGGCTTTTCAGAGGTGAGAGACCATGAAGGCTTTCATGAAAGAGTTGAGTAGCCTTATGAAAGAGACCACAGGGAGCTCGCCTGGCCCTTGCACCATGTAAGGAAGTGAGAGGGTATCATCTATGAATGATGAAACAAGTCCTCACCAGACACCAGATCTGGAACTTGTTGCCACCTGATCTTGAACGTGCCACCCTCCAGAACAGTGAGGATAAATTTCTGTTGTTTACAAGCAACCTGGTTTATGCTATTTTGTTACTGCAGCCTGAACAAAAGAAGTTCGTGAACTAACACAAAAATACTGACACTCTGGTGACTGCTATTGATGTATGTAATAACCTGTCCTCCATCTCTGACCTAAGAGTCTCACGTCTTATACCGATATGAAACTGCAGCAGATTAACTTATTAGCTTGCAGGTAGGGTAGAATCTCAGATCTTTCACAATTCTTGAAAGTCTTGCCAGGCACGGTGGCTTATGACTGTAATCCCAGCACTTTGGGAGGCCGAGGTGGGCAGATCACTTGAGGTCAGAAGTTTGAGACCAGGCTGGCCAACATGGTGAAACCTCGTCTCTACTAAAAATATAAAAATCAGCCAGGGGTGGTGGCATGTGCACCTGCAGTCCCACCTATTCAGGAGGTTGAGGCAGGAGGATTACTTGAACAGGGGAGGTGGAGGTTATAGTGAGCCGAGATCATGCCGCTGCACTCCAGCCTGGGTGATGGACCAAGACTCTGTCTCAAAAAAAAAAAAAAAAAAAAAAATCCTTACCTCATTATGAATTTCTTCTCCTTGTTTCAAAACTGCAGGCTCAAAGGATTTCAAAGAGACATCACCATTGTCCACATCGTCACGGACATTTTGCAGAGCCAACTGACAGCGTTGTAAAATATAATCCAAGGTTCCTGTTGAGCACTGTTGAGACAGAACCAGCAATTACAATTATGGGCAAAATCTAAGTTTACTATGCCGCCCTTCCTAGGATTGTTCATATTTGTCCCTGGCTGTGAATTCACCTGTTGACCCCACGGCTCAGTCTATACTCCTTTTTTTTTTTTTTTTTTTTAATTTAAATTTTGAGATAGGGTCTTGCTGTGTCACCCAGGCTGGGGTATAGTGGTGTAATGTTTCACTGTAGCTTCAACCTCCAGGGCTCATGCAGTCATCCCACTTCACCTTCCCAAATAGCTGGTACCACAGGCAGGCACCACTCTGCCCAGCTAATTTTTCTAAATTTTTATGTTGTAGAGAGAGACAGGATCTTGCTATATCATCCAAGCTGGTCTCAAACTCCTGGGTTCAGGCAGTCCTCCCACTTCAGCCTCCAAAAGTGCTGGGATTACAGGCATGAGTCACTGTGCCCGGCCTGTACTCCTTAACTCAAGAATTACTAGAGTGGCCTGTTCCACTGGGCTCTGTGCTGCCAGTTTGGCCTCACGTGGGCCACTTAGTTTGCTGGTTTTCTTTTACATGGGCCTCATATCTCTAACTAAACATTTGGGTCCCTGAAGCTAATGCCCTATTTATATATGTTAAATACATTTTCTATATATACTACAACATTTAGAACTGAGTCCGAAAACTAGAAGAAATTTAATAAATAATTATTGGATGAATAACTGGTTAACCAAGAAGTCAAGGACACTGACTTTTTATCTCAAATGCCCTGAGACTAACGATAGGAAAGAAAGGTAAACAGGCTGCTGAACTGGTTCAAAAGCACACTAAATGGTTCCGTAAAAACAGAGGGGAAAAATGAAGTTATAATCACAAGGCAAAGAACTCATTTCCCTTTTCTGCAAAAAGCATACATTAGGCAGTGGCAGTTTTTGGCAGAATAGATTCTTCAAACAATGGAGAATATTTGGCTTATGCCCTCAAGGCACATTCAAAGCCACAACTTAGTACCTGGGTCTCAGCAAGGACAGAGATAACTAGTTCATCCCTCTCTGAGTTCGTGGGAGCAAAACAGAGGTCAAATGGACAAACTCCTTTTTATAAAGGATCATATGTTGGAAAAGAGGCCGATGTACATGGGCAGTGCATCTGCTTGTTTTGATATTGAAGTGATTTCCTAGAATAATAAAAAGTCAGCTATAAATACCCTTCAATCCCAACAAGGAAAATGTATCCCTAAAATACTTTGGTTTTATTATTTGTAATTTAAACTGAGTCCTTGTAAATAACCTTGAAGGCTAATCCTCTGGTATAAAATTTCCTTGCACATTTACTACCATTGTATCCAATGCAACATCGACAAGCCTGGGAAAAACAAAGTTTCTGTGCCAAGAAACAGAAGTTTGACTAATACGTATTTTAATATGAAGATCCCAGAGTGCTGGGTGCATAAGGGCAGACAACTCCAATTTCCTGCCAAGAAAACCCCACAAAGAATAAAGGTGAACGACCACTCATTTTTGTCCCACAGCAACCTCTACAACATCTTTCTTTTTGAGACGGGGTCTCACTCTCTGGCCCAGACCGGAGTGCAGTACCATGGCGTGATCTTGGCTCACTGCAATCTCTGCCTCCTAGGCTCAAGCAATTCTCCTGCCTCAGCCTCCCAAGTAGCTGGGATTAAAGGCGTGCACCACCACACCTGGCTAATTGTTGTATTTTCGGTAGAGACAGGGTTTTACCATGTTGACCAGGCTGGTCTCGAACTCGTGACCTAAAGTGATCCGCCCACCTCAGCCTCCCAAAATGCTGGGATCACAGTTATGAGCCATCGCACCCAGCCTACAACATCTTTTTAAAATGACTTCCATCTAGAAAGTTTTCCTACGTGCACCTTTACTTTCCCAAGTAGTGAGCTACATAGGTTATTAATTGCATTTTCATGCAAGATTGGAAACCACCTAAATTTCTCAACAATAGGAAAACTAGTTTAATGAATTATGGTTGCAGAAAACAAAAAGAGAGAGAGAGAGAGTGTGTGGAATAATTTTTTTCTGGATATATAGTGTTTTGTTTTATTTAAATAACCTATAATCAGGCCTAGTCTGAGAAAGGTTTTTTTTTTTTTTTTGGTAACAGTTTTATTAAGCTATAATTCACATATCATAAAATTAAACCATTTAAAGCATATAATGAAATGTTGTTTCACATATTCACAGAGTTATACAAATATCACTGCAATTAATTTTAGAGCATTTTCATCACCCCAAAAAGAAACCCTGTACCGTTTAGCAGTCACCCCCAACCCCGCCTGATTTCCACCAACATTTCCAACCCTAGGCAACCACTAATCTACTTTCTACGTCCATGGAGAGGCTTATTCTAGACACTTCATATAAATGAAATCATATAATATGTATCTTTTGTGACCGGTTGCTTCCATTTCATATGTTTTCAAGAGTCATTCATGTTGTAACATGCATCATTACTGTATTCTATTTGAATGCCCAATAATATTCAACTGCATGGATACGCCACGTTTTGTTTATCCATTCATTAAGTGATGAATCTTTGGGTTGTTTCCACTTTTTGCTGATTATGAATATTCCTGTAGAAGTTTCCATCACTCTTGGGTATCTACCTAGGCATGGAATTGCTATGTCACAGGGTATCTTTGGATTTAACCTTCTGAAGACGTGCCAGACTGTTTCCCAAAGTAACCGCACCACTATCCATTCCCTCCAGCAGCGCACGCGGGTGCCACTTCCTGCAGGTCGTCACCAACACTTGTCACTATCTTTTTTATTCTGGCTATTCTAGTGGGTGTGAAATGTTATCCCATCATGGTTTTGATTTGTATTTCCCTATGACTAATGATGTTCAGCATTTTTCATTTGTCTGTTGGCCATTTGTATACCGTCTTTTTTTGTGTGTGTGAGACGGAGTCTTGCTCTATTGCCCAGGCTGGAGTGCAGTGGCGCAATCTCGCCTCACTGCAACCTCCGCCTCTCAGGCTTAAGCGATTCTCCTGCCTCAGCCTGCTGAATAGCTGGGATTACAGGCATGTGGCACCACATCTGGCTAATTTTTGAATTTCTAGTGAAGACGAGGTATTACCATGTTGGCCAGACTGGTCTTAAACTCCTGGCCTCAAGTGATCTGCTCACCTCGGCCTCTTAAAGTCCTGGGATTACAGGCAGGAGCCACTGCACCCAGGCTGTGACATGTTAATTCAGTTCCTTCGCCATTTTAAATTGGATCATTTCTCTCTTGAATTATTGAGTTGTAAGAATTCTTTGAATATTTGAGATACAAGTGCTTCATGAGATAAATGATTCACAGATATTTTCTCCCATTCCATGGATCCTCTGCACTTTATTTATGGTACCCTTTGAAGCAGAAAAGTTTTTAACTTTGATGAAGTCCAATTTATCTGTTTTTTTCTTTAGTTGTTTATGCTTTCGATATCATATCTAAAAAGCCATTACCTACTCCAAGATAAGAACTATATATTAATGAGTAATTACTACCAAAGTTTTCTGAAACAAAACTACAGAACCATGTATTTTTATATTTAAAAATATTTAAAAATGTTTTTGAAATTACATACATTTTTACTTATATATTAAATATTACCAGAAGAGTAACAAGAACCTTTTAACACTGGTTGCCTCTGGGGACAGGGACTGGTTGGACCAAGGAGAAAGAGACTTTAACTGTATACCCTTAGGTATTTGTTTTTATTTTGAACCATTTGCATTAACTACCTATTCAAAATATAATTATGCATAAAATTTAAATTTCTTTAAGAAGACATTCTGTATTGAATCCCAAGAACATTCTGACACAATTATCAAAAACTAAAATCTAGGCTGGGCGCACTGGTTCACGTCTGTAATCTCAGCACTTTGGGAGGCCGAGGTGGGTGGATCAAATGAGGTCAGGAGTTCAAGATCAGCCTGGCCAATATGGCAAAACCCCATCTCCACTAAAAATACAAAAATTAGCCGGGCTATCTGCTACTTTCTACTCTGCGCTGTGCATACTCTTTAGACTATAAGCATCTTGAAGACACTGAATATGACCATTCCCGTTCACAAGTCCCTACAATAATAACTTGAATACTACAAAGTTCAATAAAAGTTTGAAGAATGAACAAACTGAAATCCCTTCTGAATTGTAATTCCTGCAATCAAAACTTGCTGATGATTTAATCTCTCTTGCTTTATTATGTATACTCTAGTGTACAAATGAAGACAGAATCACCTTCCACACAGTAAGCTTTAGTTGTTCCTATCTCCTATTAGTTTTTCATCAGAATAAAATGAAAAGACAGTAGTAGCAGTGGAAGTAATTTAATAATAGTAGTAGTGGCGAACTTCTTTGAATGTATACCAGTCTCTGTTCTAAAAAGACTTACATGTATTAACTAATTTAATCCTCATAAGAACACTATGAATTAAGTATGATTATTATCCCCATGAACATATTTCCCAAACTTTTTATTTATCTTTTTGTACAGCCCTTTGAACCCAGCACTAACGAGACTGTCTATTCTTCCGGCTTAGATTAGGAAAGACATTGAAGGGCGCATTTAAGTAGCCATATACTCAAGTGATCCACAAGAAAGGGATTCTTGGGAGGGTTATAGCTAGAAAGACAGATGCCTATAACTGGGGAAATGAAATCCTTCCATACAACACAAGGCACATATTAGATGTTCTATAAATACTAGCTCTTCCCTCCCTCCCTTCTTTCCTTCCTCTGTTCGGCCTTATCTACCTTCCTCCCTCCCTTCCCTCTTTTCTAACAGAACTCCTTTTAGGTCTCTAAGACAATTATTTCTGTGTTTGTTTAAAATTTGTCCCCCCAACAAAAGTTCACAAAGGTGGTGGGCATGATGGCCATGTTGATGGCTCTATCTCCCAGGCCTACAGTTTTGGACACATAACAGGCACTCAAATATTTAAATGAATGAGTGAATGGAAAAGAGAAGAAAGGTGAGAAAGGAAGAAAGGGGTGCTGGATGGGCTGGCTGGCATCTTGGTTTAAATACTCACTCATTCTCTCTCTGCCATACAGCAATATGATCGGTCCACTGGTAAAGCTACTTAATGACCAAAAGACACAACACTGCCGTATAGACTCAGGCAGTACTGCCACTGGAACACCATGCACTTATACCTCCCACCTTCCTGTACCACTTCTGCCCAATTTTCTCACACTTGTCCCCTGTAGTTCCATAAAAGGTCAAGCTATAAAGCAAAGCATGCATAGCAAGCTTAGGTAGAAGGTCACTTGTAATCCCTTTCATGCCTTGCTCTCTGGAACCCCTCTTAACTGAGTACATGGGACCCCAACATGACTAATATGAGTTTTTCTCATTTCTTAGTTTTCCATTCTGAACTAGTCTGAACAGCTAACCATCAGCCATTGCAAGTGGTGGCAGAATTTAGCAATAAAGTCTGGGTTATGAACACATCTGGGAGCTCAGAAACTCCTTGGCAACGCTGTAACTTTCTCTTTAATTTACATTCACATGCCCAGAAGTCTGACCAAAAAGTTAAGGAAAATGAAAATTCTCAACATCCAAACCCAGCCACAGCTAACACATGCACAAGCACAAAAATCTGCCCCAATTCCTCTGGTCATCTCTTGCCCTTGCCCTTGACAGATACAACCGTCTAAATAAACCTCTAACTATAAACACTTGTCAATGGCATTTTCCTTCTCCAAGAAACATAACCCCAAGAAGCAAAATACACTTATCCCATGCCATGCATACACTTTCTAAAACTGTATCCAACACAATCCAAAGCTCAAAAAGCAAGTAAACAGATGAAAGTCAAGTTAGATGGAAGCAATTTCCCCATCAAATACTCTTCCAAAGCTCTATGATAAATTGCTCATTCAACCACTTCTGTCACATCCAATTAGGTGTGAATCACATTTTTATTTACACTTACCTCTGCCACTCGGTGGGTGGAACTAAACCGAGGTTGTGAACCAGCCAAAACACAGTGTTGGTGGGTGGCATTGAGATCATCTACAGGAAAAACACCAGAAATTTATAAAACCATATTTATTAGTCAGTATATACTATATATTATTTAACTAAAACACAAAGTAAACAGTAAATCCATCTTTCAAGAAATGACAATAACCAAGGAATCAACACTTACCTTGTATTCTTTAATCAATCCCTTATAAGTAGGTGACTATATATATATGTGTATATATATGTTCCATTATATATGTATCTACTTATAAGTAGAGATTACATATGTAGATATATAACAAGTGTAATAATACAAATATAAGTATATAATAAATATTATATACTTATATATACTTATACATACACAAGTATATGTAAGTGTAAGTAGATATATAATCATATGTCTATAATTAAACATGTATATATTCTATCATACAAAGTATGACACTTTGAAGAGTGAAAGGGGGTGCTATTTACAATTATTCCAGAACAACAGGTATAAACCAGGACTGCCCTCAGCAAACAAGATATAGGGTCACTCTGCTTATTTGTGGTCCTATAATGCCCACCCACTAAAAAATTCACTATGTATGGATTGAGCTTCTTTCACTTTCTCATGACACATCTACTTCTACTCTTTAGAATAAACCAGAATTTGGAGTTGAACACCTTTCATCTGAAAAATCTGCCTCTTTCCTTCTGTAATCAAAGTATCAATTTTGCCCTAACAATTTTCCAGGCAACAAACTAACCAATTCAGCATGTTGCATGTTTGGCCCTTAGAACAGAATTCAAGTCTAGGGATTCACAACCCAAGAATGAAGTAGGTGGTGAATTCATCAGTTGAAGAATATTCCTAAAACCACAAGCAGTGGGAGAAAAACCAATGACCAAGTTGTTGCAGATCCTGAGAAATGATACCACAAGTCGGGCAAAATCTATACAACCTCTGCTTAGGACATGACTTCCTCTACTACAAAAAAAAGAGAGTGGTAATGTTTCCAGCAATGATATCCTATACAGGCAATACAAGATTTTAATCAAGATACCAGAAATGATAATGACTTAAACTAAGAGGCAAATGCCACCAGGCCCCTTATGTGTCAGCAAAAACAACCTACAATATCATCTCTAAACATAGAAAGGAAATGCAAAATATTAAGGCAGGATTTCCACTTAGGAATTTGTGAAGTAACAGTGACAAGATTTACCATTCTGCCTTAAACAACTACAAAACAAGCCAAAAATATGAATCAACGGTTTCAGCAAGATATAATCCCATGGAGAAGAGAAACAAAATAGGTGAGAGACGCCTACAATTGCCCTAACTTTCTCCATGGAAACAGTTTCAACGCCACAGAATAAAGAAGAGGAAGTCAAAACCCGGTCTCTGTTTCTTTCTTGCCAAGTTGAGAAGACAAAGATTGGAGTATAGGGAGGCCAAGGCCATAGGGCCTTGAAAGGCAGAATGCTGAAACAGAAACAGATATACAGAGAGAGAGCAAACAGAGATTGCAGAAGGGTTCCCTTAGGTATTTGGAAGAGCACTGACCTGTGCATGTATGAATAAAAACTTCCCAAGGGCCATAAAAAGAAGCACCAGAATGCAGCAGGTGGAACCAATTTCAGATCTTACACACAGCTAGGAGTATTTTATGATCCCAGCAGCCAAAATGGCTCTCACTACGAGATACTAGAAAATCCTTAGGAAAGCATCACTGCGGAAGTAGGGCTAAATGAGTCCTAGGTTAAATGTTGCTCTAGTCCCACTTAGCAAGGCTTAAAACTAAGCCTCGAAAGGATCCAACTTCTGGCCAGGCACAGTGGCTCATGCCTGTAATCTCAGTACTTCCGGAGGCCGAGGTGAGTGGATTACCTGAGGTCAGGAGTGCGAGACCAGCCTGGCCAACGTGGTGAAACCCTGTCTCTACTAAAAATACAAAAATTCACTGGGCATGGTGGGAGGTGCTTGTAATCCCAGCTACTCGGGAGGCTGAGGCAGGAGAATCGCTTGAACACAGAAGGCAGAGGTTGCAGTGAGCCGAAATCGTGCCATTGCACTGCAGCCTGGGAGACAAGAGTGAAACTCCATCTCAAAACTAAAAAAAAAAAAAAAAAAAAAAAAAAGATCTAACTTCTTCTTAGTAATTTAATTATTCATTAGAGCAAAAGCCAAAGTATGTAAAAGTATATAACAAAATCAGGCACCCAACAAATACTATGTGCAATATCCAACATCCATTCAAAAAGTAACAGAGAAATAAATGAAAGATGCACACACACACAATATGCGATAGTCACATCTCTCTTTTCTTCTAAATGTACATGTCTGCCCTTTCAGATATATATAAGTGAAGCTTCTAAAGGTTAAACATGTAGTGTCTGAAACAAAACTCACACTGAATGAGATGAACAGCAATTTGAAACTGCAGAAGAAAAGGTCAGTGAACTAGAACACATAAAAAATAAAAACTATGCAAAACAAAGTGGCTAAAGAAAAAAGACTACAAAAATATGAAAGAGCATAAGTGACCTCCAGGACAATATTAAGCCATTTAATGAAAATTTAATTTGAATTCTAGGGAAGGAAGAGTGACAAATACATACACATTTTTATAGAAACAATGGCCAAAATTCACCAAATTTCATGAAAACTATAAACCCAGAGATCCAATAAGCTCAATGAATTCTAAGCAAAAAAAATGATATAAGACTAAACTAAAGCATGTCATAATGAAAGGTCTTAAAATCAGTTACAAAGTGGAAATGTTAAAGGCAGTCAGAAAAAGAGACATTAAATACAGAGGGGCAAAGATTAGAATGACAGCAGACTTCTCATCAGAAGCTATAAAACTCAGAAGACAACTAGGTGACAAAATACTAAAGGAAAAAACTGTCAATCTACTATTCTATACATAGTGAACACCCTTTCTAAAATAAAAGTGAAATAAAGACTTTTCAGAAAGAAACTGAAACAATTTATATTCAGTAGATTTACACTATAAGAATTGTTATGAAATTCTACAGCAAAAGAAAGATAATATCAGAAGGAATTCAGATCTGCTCAAAGGAATAAAAAGTAACATAAGTAAAAAATATCAGGAAAGAATAAATGCCTGTTTAAATCCAAAATAATAACAATGTATTGTGAGGTTTATAACATATGCAGACATAAAACACATGAAAAAGCACAAAAGACAGGAGGATGTAACGAAAAGTGGTACAGCATTCAAAGTTACATTATGGTAAGTCAAAGACGTAAAGATATTATAAAACCAAGAGCATGGCTCTCAATGACATGTAATTTTGTCATTCCTCACTCTGGAGAGACAGACTGGAAATAGGGAATGACAATTTATCAGAGTAAAAAACAAGCAGCAGCAACATGCATGGGAACCAGTACCAGGGTAGAAAAATCGTAACTGTAACTACTGAATTGCTGGAGATTAAATGTAGACAGGACTAAGAGTTAAAAAGTCCAGGGGAGCTCAGTCTTAGGGAACTCCCAGACTTTTGTGAGTTTTATCTCCAAAAGCGCTAACAGGTTCTCACAGTGAAGATCCAAAAACATCTTCTCATGCTTCTGGCAGAAGGAAGGGAAAAAATAGCCACTTTCTTTCTTTCTTTCTTTCTTTCTTTCTTTCTTTCTCTCTCTCTCTCTCTCTCTCTCTCTCTCTCTCTCTCTCTCTTTCTTTCTTTCTTTCTTTCTTTCTTTATTTTCTCAGGAGACAGGGTCTCACTTGTCATCCAGGCTGGAGTGTAGTGGCATGAACATACCTCAGTGCCACCTACAACTCCTAGCCCCTGCTAGGCTTCCTATCGCAACTAAGAATGAGAAAAAAGAAAATGAGAAGCACTTGTGAGGTTCACAATTCACAGGCATAGACTTACTAAAAGACTGAGACTTAATCATAAGATTATAAAATGCTTCCCCTCCCAACATACCTTACCACTGCATTATTATTGCGGTTCCTTTTATCCAGTACATCTCATTTGCCTATCAAGAAAAAATTACAAGGACTTCTAAATGGCAAAAAAAAAAAAAAAAAAAAAAGTTTGAAAAAACTGAGCAAAAATCAGAACCAGAGTCAGAAATGGCAGAAATTAATTATCAGAAATGTATTTTAAACTACGATTACTATTCTAAGGACTGTAAAGGACAACATAGATAACATGCAAGAACTGATGGGGAATGTAAGCAGAGGAATGGAAATTCTAAGAAAGACTCAAAAACACAGTGCTGGAAATCAATAACATTGTAACAGAAATGAAGAATGCCTTTAGTGGGCTCATTAGAGAACTGGGCAAGGTAGATGAAAGATCTCTGAGCATGGGGATATATTAAGAGAAACTTCCAAAACTGAAAAGCAAAGAGAAAAAAGACTGAAAAACAAAAGAAAAAACAAACATAAGTATGGGACAACTACAAAAGGTATAACATATGTATAATGGAAGTAACAGAAGGAGAAGAGGGAAAGGAACAGAAGAAAATTAGAAGCAATAATAACTAAGTATGTTCTTAAATTAATGTTAGACACCAAACAGGAGACTCGGAAAGCTCAGGAAAAAAAAAAAAACCTACACCTAGGCATATTATATTCAAATTGCAGAAAGTCAAAGATAAAGAATTTTGAAAAAAGCCAGAAGGGAAAAACAGTTTATCTATAAAGGAGCAAAAAAAAAAAAAAAAAAATTTGACGTTTCTTCAGAAACTAGGCAAGCAATATAAAAGTGAAGTGAAATACCTAAGGTGTTGAGAGGAAAAAAAACAGCAAGCTAGAATTGTGGATCCTACAAAACTATCCTTCAAAAGTAAAGGAGAAACAGACCAGGTGTGGTGGCTCATGCCTGTAATCCAAGCACTTTGGGAGGCCAAGGCAGGTGGATCACTTGAGGTCAGGAGTTCAAGACCAGCCTGACCAACATGGTAAAATCCCTTCTCTACTAAAAATACAAAAATCAGGTGGGCGCAGTGGCACACACCTGTAATCCCAGCTACTCAGGAAGCTGAAGCAGGAAAATCACTTGAACCCGGGAGGTGGAGGTTG